GATGTAATTTGGTAGTTGTGTCAAGACAAAGGGGATAAGCTATAACAAGCCATATCTCATATTTCAAGAGCTGTGATACTGATGACAAGCTTTACTTTCCTCATCACTCATTGTCCCCTGATCTTTTTTTTTGTCGTACAACACGGTGTTAGAGTGCATATGACAATGCGTACAGCAGATTGTGATATGCGTTGGGTGTTCGGATAAGGACGCATATAAACAAACAGATGATTACTGAGTTTAACCGGGACAGAATCACATTTGTAAACAATTTCTTCTTTTTTTTTTGAGAAATCAGTAATCAGTCACTGACCTCTCTTTTATCTGCTATTTCAAAACATCTGCCAGACATCTCTGTAGGGACGTGGAAGCTTTACTTTTTAATCTTTCCTAAGGGAAACTAACATTTGGCCTCATGCTAACGGGTTATTCTATGCCAACTCGTCCAACCTTCCCAGTTCTTTTCTTGGAAAAAATAATTCTGAAAACTTCTATTTAGTTCATTTGACCTTGCAAAATCATAAAACTCTATTTCAAATGACTTTTTAGTTTGAACTTTTGAAGTTTGGCTCTTTATATTTGTGTAATTTCTACTAATCCTCCCCAATTGCTCATGTTTTTACGGGATTGGGCTGAAAACCCCAAAATGCTTTGAAACTAAACAGTTGTTCCTGAAGGTTTTGCAGTAATCAAACTAAACACACTAAATCATTTTATACCCAAATAAATAGTTTTTCCATTTTCAAAAATAATGTCTCCACTACTTTATGCTTTCTTGCAACCAAATTTAAAATCTAGCTTTAAAAACCTTTTTCATTTCTGTTGATGTTGTCAAAAACGTGATGATTCCACTTTGTTAAATCTAAAACTTGTGTATATATCACATTAAATCCCCACATGTGTAACACAGGGGATGAACTGCCTTCACTAGAAAGTAGCTTTAGAGGAAAACTACACATTGTTTACAGTGAATTTAGCTTTTCATAGAGTAACGATTACACTGCTTTGGAGATGAGATACATTTTCTGAATGTAATTTTTTTAAAAGCGAAAAGCTAAATTCACCTTCACTGTTTTGTTTAAATGAGTCCGTTGTTTCAAATCAAATTAATCCAGACAGCCAGATTAAATTTTTTTTTTTTTTATTATTGTGTTTATTTAATTTCTAGTAATTTCGATGAACCAACATTTTCAATAAATATTAAGAAAAAGTTCAGCTCCAGAAATCATAAACACAACGATGCAACACCCCAAATGTAGCAGCCTGTAGCCAGACATACTGCAATATGTGTAATAACTTACAGGCCCAGCATAATAAATTATGTTCTCTTTATTATGATGACTCATTTAAAAAAAAAAATTAAAAAACTTAATTGATCAAATCACTTAATGCTTGCAGTAAAACCACTCTTTCAAACATCATTGCATTTATTGAGCAGTAAAATTGAAAAATTAAACCTACTAATAATCTACTTAATATGAAAAATACCCCAAACAACAACAATTCTCATGATTCTCCAGACTGAAAGGCGCGAACAGGTTTAAGCACTCCTGAACTGTATTTTTGCATCTAAGTATAAGAAAACGTATAAAAAGTTTGAACAAAAGCCTGTTCTTGCAAACTGCTCTTGTGGGTGGATCATCATTTCCTTCTTATTTACATACCTACAGTATTTACATACCTACCTGCCTATTTGCAATCTCACATACTCTCCATATACACAACCTACTTATAATGGTGGTTTATGGAAAGCATGCTTTTGGGGATAGAATTTATTTTTTTTTGTCTTTGTAGCACCACAAGTGGCTTCTGGGACAGATTGATGAGCAGCAAACCTGAGCTGCAGCACTGTGTCGGCTGTCAGAGTCAGCATTTAATATAACCAAGACCTCCATCAGGGTTATTGTACCCATTATGATAAAGAACCTCTAACTTTAACAGAACAAAGTCATTTAACAACCTCATCAGTATTGTTTTCATCTAATTTTCCCAACTCGACTGTGTGCAAGCAGCAGTTAGTTTTCATAGTGACACCGCCCTCTGGTGGCCGTAGCAATAACACAATAAGAAAGTGGAAGGATGGAGTGACACAGCAAGAAAGTTGGTTTCACAGATCAGGTAGGATTGACGGCTCGGAAACCAGTTGACTACAGGAGTTACAGTCGTGAACAAAAAGAGTAAAGGTTTACCTTGAGGCTCGACTGAAGTCTGCTGCTGATCACAAAGAAAAGGCCTCCTGGAGGAAAACTCTGGTCAGACGGAAGAAAAATGGAGCTATTTGGCCATAATGACCAAAAACATGTTTGAAGGAGAAAACTGAGGCTTGTAGCTCCAACAACACCAAACCTACCACCAAGCATGGTGGTGGCAGCATCATGCTTGGGGGCTGTTGTGGCGCCAATGGAATAATGAAGAAGGAGGATTAACATCACATTCTGCAGGATGCCCCAACAAGACAATGACCCCAAATAAACATAAAAAATGGTAATGAAATGGTTACATCAAGTCCGGACTTAAACCCATCAAAGAACCTGTGGACTGTGATGAAGAGACAAGTCGTTGTCAGAAAGCCAACAAGTTTAGCACAAATTCAGTCAAGAGGCGGGTTAAAGATTCAACCAGACGCTAAGCAGATGCTTGTGGAAGGCTATCAAAAGCACCTAATATATATTTCACCTAATATTAGCATTGTTGTACGTATATTTTTGAACCAGCAGATTTTCTCAAGACCGACATAAATCTATGGAAGACGCATGTGATTCAGTCATTGGAAACTCAAGACCGAAGATATAACCAGTCATATAATCATCATAATCTATTGATATTGATTCTTTTTTTCTTCTCCCCACTGTCACCAAGTGCTGCTCAAAAGGAATCACTGGGTTTCTTTATAACATAACACTACAGGGTCTTCACCTCACTGTTTAAATACGATTGAATTTAAAGTAGTAGCATAAGAATAGCAGGTGACTGTGCCGTCCGATGTGATTCCATGTTTGAACTTCAACAAGCATTATGTAAAAGATTTTATCACGGATGCGTTCGGGATCGTGCTCTTGGACTAGAAACATGATGTAACAACATGTAGAGCAAGGACTTTGTGATTACTGCTTGTCTGTGGCCTGTTTCTCTGAAAACGTCCAGACTGTGTGGCTCTGAGTGACGTCCTGATCCAGCCCGTCCTTTCTTTGTTCCTGCACATCAGTGTGAAGAGATATGATGCCGACATTATCGCATTATTTGGATTATCCGACCCGTTTATCTTCGTATGGCTTACTGACCTATTCATGTTTGTGTATCCACTATTTGCATCATTTCATATCATATACAGACGGTTGCTGAAGGAAGATGACTTCACGATGCCACGTTGGAATTAAAACCAAAAGCCCAATGTGGAGTTATGTATGTATGAATGTAAACACACTAAATAATGTTTTAAACTTGGCTACAAATTTGGGGGCTACAGGGTGGCGCAGTTGGGTAGCACTGTTGCCTCGCAGCAGGAAGGTTGCCGGTTCGTGTCCCGATGGGGGCACTGGGATCTTTCTGCGTGGAGTTTGCATGTTCTCCCCGTGCAGCGTGGGTCCTCTCCAGGTTCTCTGGCTTCCTCTTTCGTTGTTGGAAACCTCCAACTATGTGGCAGAAACATGGTTTTATTGTCACTAAGGAATAAGTCTCCTGTACGAGTCTACAATTTGTAATAAATATTTGGAAATTGGAAATATAATATGATCCTTATGCATGAGAAACTCCTGAAGAACGAGCGTAACATCTAAAACCTTGGTGTGTAAAAGCTACAGATGGCTTATAATTAGACAAAGTTCGAATTTTTAATGTTCTTGGCTTTTTCTTGATTATGCTGAGTTGCTGCTTTAATGAGTGAATAAGGTTTGAACTGTGATGTGAAAAAGGGCCGGACACGTGTGTTGGGAAATATGAAATGTCAACACAATACTTCTTTTAACGATTTATCGCTGCATCACTGACGTCTGTCATGACAGTCTAACGTAAAGAATCCTGGATTAAAAAAGCCTGTTTAAGAATTATCCTTATCAACTGGAACACAGTGACACGAAGAAATTGATGAGTGCAATGCAAAAAGGCTAGAACTGAATGTTATGACCACTGCAGGAGTATATAACAGGACTTCTCCTCTGTACAGTGGTTTATTCTCCTGTGGTTTATCTCACACCTGGAAAGCAAACTTGGCACCGTTCCTGGAATATGCCACGTCACCTGATGAACAAACACATATAAAGCTCCAGTGATCATGATGTCAGAAGTAGTGGATAAATGGCTGTAAAAAAATTATAAAAGATATGGAAACAATAACTAAAATGACGGATAAATCATTGAATCAGTCTGTAGATGATGGGAAAATGGTTAAACCGATCGGCTGAATGTAATGTAATATGGTGTAGCGGCAAACAACAAAATAAACCAACATGCTGACTGTTAAAATCGATGAAATAAAAGCTGGAACAATACTGACTTTAACTAATAATAATAATAAATAAATTAATAATGTTAAACCACATTCAAATCAAACAAACGTCTGTTTAATGGAGCTCCCTTTTCTTGAATAAAGTCTGAGAGGCCTGTAGGGGAACATCTGACAAAAACAACACTCTCACACCTCCTCGTTGTGGATTAATGAACAGTTGTTAAAGGATTTCTCTTGAACTACTTCTTTCTTTTATCCAGCTAGGTGTGGATCTGTTGTCCCTGTGGGCCCGTGAAGCCCAGCGAGACATTAAATGTGGCATAAGGTTACACAAATGACCCAGTCCAGCAGCCTCTAAACGACTGGTGCACAAAGAAATGATTCCTTAAACCCCCCGTTTGGAGAGTAAACATTAATCCTGTTCCAAGTAGTGCATGGACTAGCTGGTTTCAAACTGGTTTTACTGCACGACAAAAACACACCCACGTTGCGTCATCCTCGTCACTCTACTTTGGTTTAATATTGAAAGAGGAAATCCCGGGCTCGGGCTGAAGTCCGTCAACCGCACTTTCTAACAGCTGCACTTCCTTGTGTTTGTGCACATGCTGCTTCATTTAGCGTGAGACTCGTTGCTGCGTACGCCGTGGACAGAAAGACCGATGGACAAGGCATCAGGGCCGGCCCAGCAGGAGGTGAGTGTGGTCCTTCCACAAGCTCTTCATGGTTGGAGTTCAAAGCTGCAAACATTTAAATTAGCTCATCTGTGATCAAGCTGCTGCTTTAATGCTCATGTAGTGTCAGTTTGAGCTGATCACAACACAAGACGTGACGGTCCAAGAATGGTCCGGTTCAGGTGGGAAAACAGACAAATAAGCTGCTATCAAGAAAACATTTGACACGGTAACGTTTCCTGCGTATATCACATGACCAGAGACAGAACTTTGATCTTGACAACCTCAGTTTTACTTCCTGTGGTAAGAATTACAAGTGTAGGCAGTTTTCGGGCTGATTCTAGAGTAGTTCACTGTTTTGGACTTGTGTGTGTTTGTGATTGTGTACACGGACATGAAGCGCAGTCACAGAATACGGGCAACCCAATTATCAGGTTTGGCAACATCCTTCACACCTGATTGCCAACGGCCAAGCATTTCCCCAGTGACACTTCCTTTTATAAGCTTCGTGTAATATGTGGGATTGAATTTATCCGCCCTCTGAATACTGTATTCATGTAATGTAAAAAACTTGATATCATCATTGTACGGACACACCAGCACTGTGTTTACTTCATGAACTCCATCAGAGCATTGGGTTTTCTACATTTATCGATCACATTAACCCTTAATAGTCCTGCTTCTTGCACAGTGTTTGTGTAACTCGTGTTAACTTGGTGTAAAGTCATTAAGCAAACTAGATTTTAACTCAGTGCCTCTCAGCATTAAATAATCATGGTGCAGTTACACTCCATTACATTTCAGAGAGACTAGAAATTATACTTTCGACTACTACGTTTTCCCAATAGCTCACTAAAGCTGCTTTGCATACTTTGTTGGTATATTTAATGCAAAAAAATTGTCCAGCTTTTCCTGGTCGGTGAAAAAAAGTATTTCAAACGGCAACCAATACAAACTAACTGTCCTGCCAAGTAGGATATGTTCAGGAGAATTTTATCAGATGCCATCAACAAGCACAGATTAAACAAATGTGTGGCTCACATGCTAATTTGTTTATAATCTTATAATCTTAAAACATATGAAATGCTATCAAAAGGGTATTAAAATAGAATAGAATTGAAATGAATCTGTTGGATATGTTTCTACATGCCCTTTTATTTAGGCCATACTTCAACTTTTTATTGTTTTTGCTGTATTTAGATTAGATTAGATAGAACTTTACTGATCCCTTTGGTAGGGTACCTCAAGGAAACAGCACAACACCGACAAAGACAGTAGCACACATCGATTAAGAGAAAAAAGCAGTAAACAAGTAAACAAACTGTGTCTGAATGTGAATTCGGCAAAAGTCAAAGAAAGTTCGCATTGCAAGTTTATGTTGTGGAGGTTTGACAAGTGAAATATAGAAATAAATATATTTTGAAAAGACAGAAATAGCCCAAACAAAAGCTGATCGATTGAAATGTGGAAATGCATTCGCGACGGGAGAGGACTTAAGAGTGCAGTTCACACAGGCGTGGTCAGTGCGGTCGCCTGAAGCCATCTGTGCTTTGAAGTGAATAAGGAAGGGCAGCGCGTACAGAGTTAAACAACAACCTGACAAAGGTTAAAATAACACGCGCAGTTTGATTTCATTTTAAACCAAAATCCAAATTTGAGGTCATTCAAAGACCCCGTATGGGATGTTTGTAAGGGATCAAAGTGTCTCATTCTAACGGCACAATGGGGCTGTTCGTGCTTTATGGCTGCCACAGTGGGTTTTGTGCATACAAGCACTGGGAGGACAAAAGTTTCCACCTCTACAGTCACGGCTGTGCAGGTTTGTAAAGGGGAATGGCACAACACGTTGGAAATATACTTATGTTACTTCTGTGACTAAGATCAAAATTAAAAAAATCTATAAATAGAAACGATATCTGCGGGTTAAGCAGAGAGATGACATCAGGACAAGGCTGCTTATCTTTAAGAATGGGAGGCGGGAACACTTTAACGACACTCCTAAACCGTCTGTATCATGTTTCAAAGCAATAATGCAAATGCTAAAATTTTCAAAGGGCAATGCATTTCTTTTTCTTTGGTTTCTTAAAGATTATTTTTCAGGCCTTATACTAGGGAGCAGATCAGGAAGTGTGAGGGAACAACATGCAGCAGATCAAGAGTCGACGCTCGCGTTGGACTTTTAGCCCCAATTCAGTGTCCACCTGCTGCAGCAACGCCCAACAATGTGCGTCTATTAACAGCAAAGGCAGAAAACAACAATGTTTTCCGATAACATGCTAATATCAGAAACACTTTACTCTGTGTACTCCACTAGCCCTGTCTCGATGCATTCCACTTGTAAGCCTGGTGGTTTTTATTGCTGGGGAGTTTTCCCATAGGGCATTGTCCTGTCCTGTCCTGTCATTTCGGGTTTGCTATAAATAGTGGCCGTGTCTTCCCCATGCAGAACCAGTGATGCTTACATACAATACATGCAGTAAGTATAACAAAGCTAAGTAGCCAAACTAAATATAAAAGCTGCTGCTGCTGCAAAAAGCAAAGCATCAGCAGTGACTCAGTGTAAGTAAAGGAAAGGTTTTAAACAACAATTTGACTAGAAACCTACACAAGAAGCCCTCAGCAATAACTCTGGGAGGTGTGTGGAAAGGTTAGCTCAACAAACAAAACAAAAAAACAACTGGAATTATAATCTAATTAAAGATGTGATTAGGCATGAATAAGTTTGAGCAGAAACATGAACGAGTACAGTAATGCTGAAATTAATCATCATCTTAACTGGAACTAAAATTAGACTGAGGTATGGAGACCTGGAAAGAAAGCAAGATGATGTGAAAAACCTGAATTGCCTGAAGGATAAAAATGAGTCAAGCTTTTGATTGTTCTGCAGGTTATTGCAGGTTGTGGTCGCAATGTGGATGAAACTAGATACCAGCGGAGGTTAACAGTTGTGACTGATGCTTGCATGTATAAAAGCAATGTTTTTGGCTCTGGTGAAAATCGTGTATTTTGTTTTATGTGCACTGAGAAGTACTTTATGCTTGTTAATGAACACAACTTGTCAATTAGCAAAGCTTTGCTAAAGGGCTTTGACAGCAGAATGCACAGAATCCATACTACAGTAGAGTATGGCGTCATCAACATAGAGATGCACATTACAACCTGATCCAGCCTCCACAAAACTACAACTAAACCGCAATCTCAATTACATTTTGAAATGAATTTTTTGTTTGCAACATGTCATAGATATTGTCACTGGGAATCAGAAAGCACAGCACACCAGGAATCGTATGTAAAGAGTTTATTTTATGAAAGGACTTCAGTTTCAAGCAGTTTTCTATTTCGTTTAAATGTTTTCTCTATCGCCTTTCCCCTCAGAATTTGGAGCAGCGCCTGTCTCCAGATGCAAGGAGGAGTTTCAGCTTCTCGTCTCTCCGCCTCAAAAGTACGACGGTGGATGATACAATGTTAATTCGTGTCCTAATTTAATTGGAACCATTCTATTGAATTTAGTGGTGATTCTTGCATTATGTGAATTTTCTGCAGAAAGGCACAGCAGTGATGGCGACGGTGGATTCGTAGGACGCAGAGGGTTGAGGTCTTTTTCATCTGTGCGAGAAAATGTGACAAAAGGTACGACAACGTATTCAGAATTCAGTCAACCACTCTTACTATCTTTACGAGTGCAGAATAAAGCCATATTTCTCCCTGTTTCACCCCACAACAAGTAGGAACTAGTACAAACTCTTGAGGTCAGGCTTTTAGTGCTGAACGTTGTTTATGAGTTGAGTAGTCTGGCGTTGCATAACGTTTTCTTTTAAAAACCTACAACTACAAACAAATCTTTCTCCACATGACAACACGTAGAGCTAAAGAGGAAATCCTTAGACAAAAATGCCTTCTCAAGTGTTTTTACATGGGGAGGACATCCACTAGAAGTGCACAGTGGGGATTCACAAGGAGGAGGTCAACCTTAAAATATCGCTAAGGCTATTAGAAACAAATTGAAAATACAGAGGAACCTTCACACTCACTGGAAAGTTAACCGATGTCAGGTGGACATTTAGGTGGAGTCGCGGCTTATCATTCCAAAAGAACACCAAATGATCTCAGCTTGTAAAACCCTCAACAGTTGAACTTCTTCTTCATTGTTTTCTGATTCTAGAGCCAGTTCTAGAGGATGACGGCGCCTCACAGCTACGCAGTGTTCGGGACCGGGTGATGAAGACAGGTATGTACGAGTTCCTAAGCTACAACACCACTTGCATCAGCTGATCACCATCAACTGCTTCAGTCACGCTACACAATCATCGGCTCATTTATTAGCTAGCTGGTGGTCTGTCTTGTCAGATGTAGACTTTCGGTTCTTGAAGCTTTCCTCATTTCATGAGATTAGCGTGGCCCAACCGTTGGTTTTAAAAAATACCAAACCATCCAGAGCCAAACCATAACACCTGACTGATAGCATCCAATCGTGTCCATACAGGTGTAGAGTGTGGCAGTATAAAGTGACACATTTCATTTACGGCTTAAACTTTTAACTTTACAGCTTTTAAAGGTTTGTGTTGACAAAAAGCAACAAGAATTTTACATGTAGTGGGACGGCTCACAACGAAGCACAATGTCGCAACACACCTTTGCCATCGTCCATCTTATTTGCTAAACAAGAGTTTTTCAGAATAATCCTCACTACTGTCCAACACTATGTGCCGTAAATTCCCTGATAAATTAGAGGTTGAAGACATTTTTAAATGCCTTACACCCGTCTGTATTGGGTTGATAATTAGCTTGTCCCTCCAGCTAGCTTTGCCACAGCAGGCATTCCAAACTGACTTGTGCAGCAAAACTGACCGAGTTGACAAAACTAACAAAGAGGAATACTTTCAACTGAAGGCATCTACAAATTAATGTGTGCTTGTGGCAGCTGAAGCATTCATGCTAAAACACCAGCACCTTGCTTTAAGTTGGGGAACGATGACGATCTTAAACATGAAATACAAGACAGGATGTGTTTTTCGTCATCCATACAAGCTTATGTAGGGCAGCTGTGGTTCAGGTGGTAGAGCGGGTTGTCCTCTAGTTGCAAGGTTGGTGGTTCAATCCCCTGACCCTGAGGCGTCCTTGGGCAAGACACTGAACCCAAAGCCAATGGCAGGCGACTATATAAGTTTACCATTTATTAACCACTTGAGAGACACGTGATGCTTTGGTGACCTGTACCCGGCTTCTGTCGGGTGAAGAAAAACAAAGTCAGTGGTTTCCTCAATGCATTTGCAAAACAAGACGGAGGTCATGTGAAGGCTTTGGCATGTTTCTGGAAGTCGCCCGCTGTCTTTATCCGTGATGGAGGAATCTGATTGACCTGATCTTCATCCTGCGACTGGACAGGGAGCCCAAATCACTCCCTAGATTCAAACATTATTGAGCACTACAACTGTTTTGAAGACCTGAAAGTGCATTTTTCAAGAAAACATTGAGAGTTTAGTTCTATCAGTGGGTGGCAGACTTGGTGTTGTCGTGCTAAACTTGCTTTTGTGCATTTGAAAAAAGGGGGCTCAGCCACTGTAGCACCATAGCAAAGTGGTAGCCATCTAGCTATTAGCCCTCTGGTTACTGACGTGATCTGGGCTCTGAAGGCCGCTCGGCAGACGTGAACTTTGTTTCACATCTGCTATTTTATTTGTCAAAGTGACAGAAAAGTCATTAAAGAAAGTCTGATCCAGCGCTGACATTAACCAGGTTCCCATGAAGGTAAACGGTGCTGTGGTCTGCACTTCCTCACAGTGCCTGCCTGTTGCCATTGTTGTTGCTGCAAGAACTCAGAGGACGTGTTTCTGTTGAGCTACTAAGAAACCTCCTGAATGAACTCAGGTGAACTATCGGGGCAGGAGTGCTGGGTTTGGGAACAGGTCGGTTGTGAGCCGGTGGGGAGGACACCTGCTCCGACATGTTTTCTATAATTTAATTTCGCAGATGCTTTTATCTGAGCGTCGATACAACACAAGCAAGCATCTCGTCAGGAGAATACAACCTGGATAAGTGCCAGAAAACAAGTTCAAGTGTGTGTTCTGGTTTTGTTTTGCCGGTTTGACATGTGTGGTTGTTTTTTTTTTAAATGTGTGTGAGGATGAGCAGCTACAAACCAGATTCTCCCAAACAGACGATCATTTGTGCATTCTTATTTACAGACTTTCACATTTGTAAATAGAGGTTACCACAGAGTACATCTCTATTTAGAGGGCATTTTTACTTGGTGTATATATTACACTCATTGTGCATTTTATATTCCCTTATTATTTATTCTTACTTGCTTCATATTTTTGCTTATTTATCTGTATTTATGCTGGTGGTAACTTTACTCTTTCTGCTCTAACAACTGAATTTCCTCCTCGGGAATTAATACAGTCCAGCACCAGTCAAAAGTTTGGACAAACCTTCTCATTCAGTAGTTTTTATTCATTTTAATTATTTACTGTTTGCGGTCACTGTCTTGCTGAAAAACAAGCGATGGTCCCAGTAAACCAGATGGCATGGCGCTGCAGAGTAGCCATGCTGGTTAAGTGTGCCGTGAATTTTTAAATAACTCACCGACAGCGTCAGCAGCAAAGCAGACCCCAAAACATCACACCTCCGCCTTCACGTCTCACGGTGGAAACCACACATGCACAAATCATCCGCTCACCTTCTCAGCGTCTCACAAAGACACAGCGGTTGGGAACCAAAAATCTCAGACTTGGACTCTTCAGACCAAAGATTTCAACTGGTCCACTGTCTGGTCCTTGTGTTTCCTGGCCCAAACAATTCTCTTCTCCTCAGGAGTTTGTTCTTTGCAGCAGCTCGACCATGAAGGCCTGATTCACACAGCCTCCTCTGGACAGTTGGTGTTGAGATTCGTCTGCTACTTTAACTCTGTGAAGGATTTAGTCTGTGTACGAAGTCATCCATTTACTCCATACTCACTATCTAGGGACCACTATATAGAGAACCATACAGTGAACTATGTAGGGGGCACCTTGGCAAAGTAACACCTGTGACACTACTTGAGCTTTTAATTACGTCGCTTTCTAGCCACGATTACTACTGCAGCAACGTAGCACAAACACATCAAATTTACACTTTATGCCACAGCTTAGAAACCAGTAAAGTCAAATTCGTGATGGTACGTATTGATCGGTTAGGGATCATCAGCTGTACACTACTTTTCACAATGCATTGTGGGATATTTTGAGGGCACCATATAGGTTGTAACGTGTAACTCAACATTCGGACAGCACTACAAAATGGCCATTGTGTATAGCGAGTGATTTCGGACACAGCCCTGGTGGCGGTCCTCATGAGAGCCGCTTTCATCGTAGCATTTGATGGTTTTCTACGACTGCACTTGAGGACACATTCAAAGATCTTGACATTTTCCAGACCTTCATGTCTTACAGTAATGATGGTTGTTCCTCTTTACTGGTTCTCGCCATATTATGGATTACAACAGTAGTCAGATAGGGCTATCCACTGTGTACTAACCCTACCTCTGCACAATACATCAAACACATTAAGAAGGCAAGCACCCTGGTAGCTCAACAGGTTGAGTATTGAGCAATAACAGGGCATGAACAGGTGTTAAAATCCCAGAAGCAATGGCCATGGGTTCAAATCCCACCCATGGCCCATTTGCTGCAGGTCCTTCCCCTGTCTTCCTGTCTAATGAAAGGTCAAAAAATAATATATATCTATACATATTTTACAAGATTCCACAAATTCCTTCTTGACTAGGCACACCTGTTGATTCCAAACCACTCCAGGAGATGACCTCATGGAGCTGACTGAGAAAATGTCAAGAGTGTATCATCAGTTTAAAAATATGAAACTGGCTTATTTAAGACTTTTTTTTGCTGACTACATAATTCAGAACGTGTTCTCTTGTCATTTTGATGTCTCATTATTAACCTACAATGTAGAAAATACATTAAAAAATATATAAAAACAAAGGAGAAGGTGTGTCCAAACTTAAAAAAAAATAAATAAAAAAATCTTCTTTTATAAATATTAAAGCCACTAAAGTTTCACGGTCCATGTTAGGAGCCTTTCTTTTTTTTCTTTTTTTCTGTTTTAATAAACCTCCCCTCCCCCACGTGACTTGAACGCAACGCGCGAGAGCTCCGCCGAGGCACGCGCTCCGACAGCGTTCGAGCCGTCGGGATGCTTCACGCGAGCGGCGATGGAGACCGAGCGGTGCCGAACCGCCGCCGACGCTGAGTTTTCACGCGCAGGAGCCGCCGAGGGTCCGACAGTTGAGCAGTAATGAGCGATAATCTAATACCGAGGAGGAGAAAGAGAACCGGACTGAGCAACTTCAGGAGCAGATGGAGTGAGTACCGAGCGGCGGACGGACTTCACCTTTAATTGGGTTAAAATGCGTAAAGCGAACCTGTTGCCTTTATTTGACACATTATTCAGCTACTTATGGCTTAAAACTGAACATACGTTTGTTTTTTTAATCCGGAAACAGTGTGTCGAGCATAGCAGGCGTTTAAACCCCTCATATAAAGTGTCCACTTGTCATCCGGGTGCAGTTTATGATAAGAAAAAGCAGGTTAGTTTGGCTGACTTCCGGTCCTCCGCTGTGTGTTTTACAGGTAGAAGTTAAACTACAGGTAACATTAAATTCACCTGTTGCTAAATAACACTTTGCCACGTATCCTTTTGCGGATATTGTGGTTGAATGTTTCCTTCCAGACTGTGGCAAGTGCGCACATTAGTAGCTGGATGATGCTTTACTTTAACATCCAAATGACTGATGAATAACACTTTAGATGTAAACGGTGACATTTGCAGGAGCCCTGTGCTGCAGCTCAGACTACACACTTCAGCTGGTGTCCCTCTGGCTGCACATTGAGGCAGGAATGCAACTCAGAGACCAGGAGAGAAGAAATTAAAAGCCAAACATTGGCTGTATCTCAGATGTAACTGGACAAATGGCTAAACAGATCTGGATTGAAACTGCAGAGGTTACATGGATAAGAAAAGACATAAAAACAGGATTGAGGCAGTTCTGGTCAGGCCCTAGTGCCTCCTTTCTTTGCTTGGAGACAGCATGCTGTTGGAACATGTTGAGGAGCCTGAGGCGGTGACCCAGCGCTGTTATTTTACACCCTCTTCATAGCTGAGAAGCAGCAGAACAAGTAGGGACTACATGTAGATTCACGAATAACTGGCTCCGAGGATGATGATGATGAT